AGTCAGAGCCAGAGCCCTGACCTTCTCAAACTTCTCCAGAGGTGGAAGGGCTAAGCCCCGAACCATGTCAAAATGGTTCCCCAGGAAGAAGAAGTCCTAATATGAAGGAACCTCTGACTTCTCTCTGGAAGGAATGAAGCCGACTCTGAGCAAGAGTTTCAGGACCAGACGAGTGTCCTTCACTAACGATTCCCACACCAAAAGAGGCATGAGGGAGTCGTCGAAATAGATGTGGACGTCTATTCTGCAGGAGTGAAGGAAACACCAGCAGCAACTTGGTGAACACCAAAGGAGCTGTCGTGAGCCCCAAGGGCATCTCTGCCTTGGCAGCATGGTCCCTACTTCCTCCTGGAGCACCCGTGCCCTTTCTGAATCCCCGGGAGGAGGAAAGAAACAAAAACGGCCAGGAGGTGAGGGACGAATCCTGAAGAAGGGGAATACCTAGACCCTCCCTGACCACCGACAAAAGCCCAAGCGTCCTCTGTAATATCCTGCCACTAGGAAAGGAAAGCAGAGAGACGTCCGCCCACAGGGAGTTCCGGATGGGGCAGATCGAGCCCCTGCCAGACCAGAGAATCGTCTGCCCACCCGGAGCCTGAGCCTGCAGGAGAAGGACATGAGCCCGGGAAAGGAGAACCACCGTCCACCCGGCCATACCCTTCGCCTTTCGCGGCCAAGAAGCAGAAATAGTCAGGAACCCTTCTTCTTGCCCCCAGGAGGTTTCTTACCCTTCCTACCCTTCCCCTTGTTGCCGTTGAAGTGAGGTTGGGACTTGGGCTGTGCAGAAAACTGAGCAGCCGAAGACTTCGCCTTCTTCTTAGGAGGCACTGACCCCTGCGAGGCACTGGCCTTCTCAGCCTGAAACCTCTTCACCAGAAGTGCTGAGGCGACCGAGTCCTCCTTCATATCCTTCTGAACCCAAGGAAGAGCTCCCCTGAACAGGGTAGAGCCCTAGAAGGGGGCATTCAACAAGCGGAAACGGTAGGGTTACTGGACTGGGCGGAATTTCAGAACTGAAAACTGCCTAGCCAACACGGCATTGACGAGCAGAGAACCTGCAAGGCTGCCGTGTCCTGTATGTCGGCTGTTCTGTCTCGGATAACCGACACTCAGGCAAATCGGATACCCTGTATAGACAAACTGTCAGGAAGTCTATGTATGACAGAACTTGGATGGAGAGGTGCAACATTCTCTCCATCCTGTGGTGCTCTTTGGGATCGAGCACCACCTGGTCCACTGATTTGCCGGGCCAGGCAGCCAGCTGTCTCAACTCCAGCTGTGCTGGTTGAGAGGCCAGCTGCCCATCATGTGTGGCATAGTCGGAAGCTGAAGCCTCCGACAATTCACCAACACTGAGCTGCAGACCGACAAACCCGAGAGCACGGGTAGAGAAGGAGTCCTTCTCTAAAACCGGAGCCCGGGCCGTGGCCAGAACCGAAGACATGATATTGCCTTCTGGCAGAGACCGATCTGAGCGAACGGAAGCCCGAGGAGCCACCAGGGAACCCAGAAGGATGGTGGATTCAGGCGCCGACGATGCTGAGGCGGTGGGCAAACCTCCGCCCTGAGAATCCGGGAGATGTTGGCCCGGAGGACCCGCATCCCAGAAAGCACATGCTGAGCCTCAGCTTCAGCAGTCTCAGGGCCATCTTCCCCTTGTGAACCCTCTTGGCCCAGGAGAAAGATGAATGACATCGTCTTCCTCTGCCGAGCCCGCACCCTCGATGTCCATCTCCTCCTCAATAGAGACCGAAGTCACCTTGGGAGGAACAGGGGCCGCCAGAGGAGCCATCTCCGCAGAGGGGAACTCCTCTTTATGGCATTTGGACGCAGCGCGACCAACAGCTGTAGCTGTAGGCTTGGGTCGGAGACCCGAAGCCGACCCCTGGGAACAGGAGACCGACGGGTCCGCGCTGGAGGCGGAAGTCCTTAAGGTCTGGCAAACCTTTATAGGACCGGCCAACAAGGCCCCCGAAGTAGCAGAACATTGGGGGGATTCCGCACTGCTATAACATCTCCTAGAGGAGAGACCAACCCCTATGGGTTCCACGAGTGAAGACCCATGGGGTAAAAACCCAAACCCCTGAGGGAATGGGAACGGTCCAGCGGGCCGGGAGTGACCCCAGAACTGGCCAAGATGGCCTGCCTGAGTCTGGGGCTGGACATCCTGTCCAAAGGACCAGGATGAACCGCCACTCCCACCAGGTGGAAACCCAGACATGTACAGGCTAAGCCCGTAACTGCTGAGTAACTGTTGGTACCCAAAACCATCCGCAGGTTGGCCTGGGCGACCCAGGAATAAGTGCCCGCAGGCACCCCTACTCCCTGAGCCCGGGGGAAAGGGAGACCGGAAACCGGACTCCTGGCCTGAAGCCCCAAACCCTTGGAGGAAAACCCCCTGGGAAACCCTGCACTGGGAAATCTGGATTGGGACGGAAGTCCCAGAGCCAGAAGCCTGTGAGGGTGGGAAAACAGACCCCGCGCTGACACCAGGATTAGTGAACTCAAGTGTCACTAATCCCCGTAGCCACAGACAATCCTGACAAAAAGTCTGTGGCCCCTGAACCTATACCCGAAGGCACAGTTCCGGAGTCAAAGCGGCCCCCACCAACGACGCCACCTGGCGTGCCGAGGTCCCTGAAGGAATCAGAGACCTCGACCGGAAGTCCCTTTCCGACGGTAACACCGCCGCCTATCGAGAGCTACCGGCCAATTCGACCCTTGACTGCGCCGAGTCAGGGTCGGGCTGCCCCCCCCCTACTCCAGGACGCACCTGGACAGGGGGAGCCACCCCCTGCTGAAGGGCGGAGCTCGGTGGAACGAGAGCACCCCCAGCAGGAACGCTCTGGTTCAGAACTTCAGGAGGGAGGTCTTAAAAAGCTTACTTCCCTTACCGGAAGAAGAGGACGAATCCCTCTTCCGGCGGAAAGTTAGCTGGAAAGGCATGGAAGCCTAAGCAGCAGACTCCATGTGCAAACAAAGTTCACATTGTGAGGTCTGGCTGTAATGTCGGCAAATGGGACAGGTATCATGGGGTTCCCATTATCTATAGAAATAGGAACATCCATGCGCTGACCCCCGACGTAAACCCGGCACCTTTATCCAGCATCGAAACAATAAAAAATTGTAACAATGAAAACAAGGATAAAAAGTTTTCTAACAATCAAAAAACTACGAACGAGATCATAAAACCTACCGTACGCAGCAAGATTGTACTGCAAAAAAAGAAAACGGTCGTACAAAACGGCCGACAAAGCAGCAAGAAAACAATTTCAACTTCACGAAAATCCGAGTGACGAGACAAGTAGTCACTCACTCGAACACGCGGAGTAAAAACACGGCCGGAAACGAAGTTCTCGAACAATCAAAAAACTACGAACGAGAGCACAAAGCCTACCGTACGCAGCAAGATTGCACTGCATAAATAAAACGGCCGTACAACACGGCCGACAAAGCAGCAAGAAAACAAATTCCAACTTCACGCAAATCCGAGCAACGAGACAAGTAGTCACGCACTCGAATACGTGGAGGAAAAAACGGCCGGAAATACGGTCAAAATAAACAAATGACAATACTTAATTTCACAATATAAGTTGGGAGATGGGTTTATAGACTACTAATAGAGTAACAATATACTCAAACGACAATGGCAGTACGAAGAGAAGGAGTAAGAAAAGCACTTAGCTCAGACACCTCCGCACTCGTCGGCAGCCATAAAGGTAAGAGGAAGGGAGATCACTCTGCGTTCCTGTCGTGATGGCTCATGGATCGTAGGGAGGGCGGGATTGTTTTTCTTTTGAATCTTTTGTTGTTGGGATACAAAGATGGGTGTAGGTACTGTATTTGCATACTAAAGTTATGGTAATTATTACTGAAATGAAAAGACTAAATAAATACATTGAATATATCCAAATATTAGGACCGTTACAAGCAGCAAAGTAATCTGACATAGGTCAGGTTTCATGTGGAGCCTGGTTTAAAAATATGTACCATGGTCCAAATCACACCTTCATTTGATAGCTCTACCGATGTTGTACAGATAATATATCAAAATAAGAATGTGGTCCACTATATCTGGATCACATTCAACTAAATGCTCTTAATAAGCTCTTTAGTCTAATGCATGATGGCAGAATGGATGGAGGCATGAACATGAACAGTAGAGTAATTATGTCTTTAGTATAGTTTTCAGCTGCACATGTGCTATCAATACCAAAGGGCTTGTCGGAAACATTATCACAAACTTCTGAACTATCATGAGGATGGTTCATCATTTTAGAATTCAACCTAACAATTGATGTCAGAAGGAAAAAAAGGTCATTAATGAAGCCTAGTTCACACATTGCTTATCTTACTTTCTCCCACCTCTGCCTACATGGGATACACATATCCCATGTGGATAACTCTATTCAACATGAGTGCACTAGGTGACCTTTTCTGTTATGACATCACAGTAAGATGACAATGTTGCATTATGAAGCCAGAATAAAAAGCATGTCATAGCATTGCTTGTTTGTTCATGGCAATCTTTTCCTCAGTAATTGACTCCATCTCAAAAACAAAATAAATTATTACACGAGCTCCTGATAAAGAAATTGCAGTGTTCTTTAAATATGAAGTATACCTATGGCATAGCATACTTTTTTCCCCGATCTTTTCATATATGGATGTAGTTTGTATGTTTGTCACATAGAAATTGTGCTATATTAAGCACTGCACTTGATCAGCATTGTTGTTATCAAATATTTGTGTAAAACATGGGAGAAAAATAGTTAACCAAAGCCAGTTGTGTGGGGTAATGGGTATTCTATACCCTTGGATAGTGAATAAAATAGTAAAGATAACCATTTGAAGATGGTAATAAGGCTTGTAAATCTTAACCATACAGTTTTATATATTTTCTCTCAAAGATAATATCAGTACACAATACTGAGGTATCCTGAGGAAGATCAGGACATGTTTACTCAGAACTAGTTTGAATGTGATATATAAAGGCGTACCTCTAGGTTTGAAAATTGGTCATTGTCCATAAACTCACTGACCATGAACTTTCTTAGGGTTGCGTCAGCATATCCTACTCCAACAAGCTGCAAAATTAAAAAGTTAAAAGTTAATTTTACTTTATGTTCTGACAGCTAACACTCTATATATGTTGAAGGGACATCATGTTGAAGTAATTTTTGTCTCTATTTTTCCTGAATTCTAGGTTAATATAAGTGTTACAGGTCCTTTTGGTTAAAGTTGTCAGAATTTGCTGAGAAATAAACTTAAAAAATAGAAAAATCCTTACAGAAAACATTTCAGCAAATTACAGTCCTCCACTCAATGTGAAATATGCCAAAACTGCACTGCAAGTGTACCCATGACCAAAGTCAGAAGTACTAGTGACAACTAGTAATTAGTTAACTTTTTCTTTGATGCAGGTCAAAAGTAAAAATTTAGGTCAGAATAATAAAAATACACTGCTTCACCAAAGTGATCCAATATCCCAAGTATGAAGTTTTAGTGCCTTGCCGTGCAAGAGATATACCGAAACTAAGTATGTAGATATATATTTACTTTCAAAGTAATAAAACAGATCCGTTCAGACTCTCAAGGTGAAAATATTATACCCTTTGGCCTGTGTCAGTGCCAATCTTCACAGCTATTACTCCTGCAGAAGTAGACATGTCTGTGTTCCCAAACAGGATTTCCTCAAACTGTGTCAGATTACCAGGTGATGCCTGCCAACAAAACCATATAATATTGTTAATTTGATTAATAAAGCAACTCAATACTACTTTCCATTCAAATCTACCTTTAAAGCAAATTGGACTGCATAACTATGCAAGATGATTTCTTCATTCAATGCATATTTGCAATATTACAAAATAACCCTGTGAAACTTGTTCTTATATGTAGTTACAACAGGTGTATATCTACTGCAAGCCATGCTACAGTTCTGTGCAATTTTACGCTGTGTAAGCCCAACTTAGACAGTCTACAATATCAAGAAGTCTCAAACCAAAAAGAATCCAGAAGAAAATATTTCTCCTACATCATGTGTGATCAATCAGTACATTTTTTTTCCCTTTTTTTTTTTTTTTTTGTGTAGATTTGACAAAAATGTGACAACTTGACATCAATGGTGGAAATCTTTACCTTGAATGCCAGGGACCAGTCATTGTTTTTGGAGCCACCTTTGTTCCTGTATACCTCCACACGGTACTGTCGTACCAGCAAGAGATCCCGCACCAATGCCTCAAAATTCATCTTGCTCAGAACTACAGACTCCAGTTTTCTTTCACCTAATAGTCAAAATACAAAATCATTTGTAAATGATTTATCTTGAGCAACATTAAATTTCATTTAATTCGATTTCAACGAGAATGATGAACTCAAATTTTTGTGGAAAAAATTAGAAATACTATCCTTTGAAATATGTTTGAAAGAATTTACAATCTGACTTAATATTGTTATAGCAAAATATTTTTTTTTGAAAAACATGAAATGAAGTGATATGTAACAAGCACAACTTAAGACAAAATTCCTTTATCAACATTGAAACACTGAATTCACTAGGTCTTTTTTATTATATTACCAGATCTTTGAAACTTGAAATGTGTTTCATAATAAATAAAGTCAAATACTTCATATAAATAACATGTCACCAAAACATTGACTTTTGTCAGTGAGACATCTAGTAATAGGGAGAGTCATCACAGAGTTGAAAAAACTTGAACCTAATTAACTATCGATAGTTAATGAAACTGTTCACAAATACAAAATGACAGAGATGAAATAACAGTACTAACTTGTACACAACTTTCAAAATCAAATTGCAAAGATTTTGCAGGTGTAATGAAAACTTCTGTAACATTGTCAAAGGACATTTTCACACATTTACCTGCTCCAAGCATTTTGATGACACCTGCAGTTTTGTAAACATCCTTGGCAACAAACACAGCATCCAGTCCATGGACAGTGTAGTAGTCCTTCAACAGTTAAAAAATAATTTGTCCACTTTTTTTTTTCAATTTTCCCAAGCATTTTTTTTCAATCTAAAATCAACATATCATTGAATGAATTCACATTTTACCATGTATTGGTTATTACTTTAATGGTAAAAAAAAATCGTAACAACAAGGTTGAGTCATTGTTGTTATGAACTCATGGATACTGAACATGTACACATGTATATTCATTTATTATATCAAACTATATATATACACATAGAAAATACTTACATTTCGGTCAAAAACACGAAGGGTAGTACTTGATTTCTGAAGATGAAAAATAGAAAAATACCATGAAATGTGTTTAAGCTAATCATAAGGCTTAACAATACTTTCCAGGCATTCTTTACTTGATACTAAGTGTGAAGTTGTGACAAAATACAACACAAGCACTTCCTTGCCAACAATTATGAAAATTTTACTGAAACAGGACAGTCAAAAGGATCAGAAATTTCTTCATGGATATGATTAATGCTATAAGATTTCCCTATATCCACAAAGGTTAAGTCTAAGGTTCCCTAACTATGATTGTAATCGATTCCCTTGTTGAACTGTCCAGCTGTTTCACTTAATGAAAAACTGTGTGTGACACAAAACTTCAGAAGCTCAGGTTATCAGGATCTCTAATGTTCAGAGTAGCTAGATCTAGACTGTCAAATCTGGAATATGTTTGTAAATGATAGATAGGCTAAAGTGTCCCCAATGTGATTTAATTATCACTATAAACAAAGTTTGGCATGCTTTATGACTCATTTCTGCTTTAAATTAATTAACTTGTACACTAGATAGTATAAGAACTCTTTTTGAAAAAATTGTTAATGTAGCTTATTTTAAAGAAAATTAAACAATACTATCTCAAGTGTCTTTGTGATTCACCAAAAACCAGAAGTTCAGTTACATTTCTGAAACCTATACGAACTCATTTTAAGGAGAGCAATTTAAGTTTGAGCGTTGATCTGTGTACATCATTTGGGGAAATATCAATTGTACACTGATTAACAGTTTTTTTAAATGTCTTGTTGCAGTGTGAATTTATTCTGAAACATTTATGTATTTGTTACAATTCAACAATGTACTATTTTGCTAACATGATACTATACCTAAGGGGACCGATACTGAAGTGTCAATGCAATAATATATGTTGTACAACATGAAAATAAAAAAACCAAATTACCTCTGGTAATGATCTGTGAAATGAGAGAAATCCCTGCTCTTGTATACCATCTGGAAAACAATCAGTTATTTTGTTTTTATCAAAAAGTTCAAATGGGATAAAAAAAAACGCACATTAAAACTAAACATGGGTTGTCAACCAATGGAATATCAATATATGAAAAAAATCTACATAACTTGCAACGATACTGCATTTCATGGATTCTAATTAGGCAGTTTACAATATAACCTTATAATTGTTTTTCAGCAATAAGATCCTCGGACTTTGCTTCAACTTGCATTTCTTGTATCACAAAATCATACTATATAACATTTTTAGAAAGCATAGACAAAGTGCATGACCATGAAAGTATCTATTTTTAGTTATGTTCCTATTTTCTTCAATTCCCCTATAAGCATTGGTCAGTCACTGGAGCAAAAAGATTGGAATGGTAATGACTCCACCTGGGCAGATTCAGAGGGAACCCTTGCCTTAAATGCTGTGCGTCACTCTGTTTCCAAGTCGGGACATTCTTTGATAGTGTTCCAGATAAAGAGGATGTTCCAATAATTGTATTTGTCCGAAAGGTTCTTACTATCTAACAAGAGAAATTCTATCTGCAATTTTATACCTTGTCTTAGTCACTGTCAAAAGTAAGAATTCCTGCATATTTAGTATCAGTATATAAACAAAAACTTAGCTAACCATGCATGAGTTGGCAATTGATCATAGCCTTGAGGTAAAGTTGAATTATATAATTTACAACGACACGATTCGTCAACATAGAAAATGATCGATGGAAAGATAAAACATTTCTCTATTAATGAAGATCTATACAAAACAAATCGTAGATTGACCGCCCCATCGAACTGTGTACAGTGTATGAAATCGACAAAGACCGGCCACCCTCTCCCTGACATACATGTAACATCATAATTAGGTGCACGTAGTAAAATCCGTCAATCACCAACCAACACCCACCTCAAATGGGTTACATACAGTCTTTGGGGAGTTAACTGTAAGAAAGATTTGTTAAATATTGTAGATGAACAATTATGTCCAACTTTACTGTCCCTATGATATATGCCTTCGAAGGATCAAATCGTGATGTTTAACGTTATATGAAGTTCGATGTTAACATCAGATATCCGCTTATATAAATATCCGATTTAAGATCGAAGGCATAAAATAGGATTATCGCAATGACTGTGTAACATGATACAATGTATCTATATATATAAGCACATTTTAAAAACGAATTAATATGCTAGTTTGACTGTTTGATAAAATTATCTCATAGAGCAATATTTAATCACAAACAAGATTATTTACCAAGTTGCAACTCTTGTTTTGGTTGAAGAGCCATCTTTTCAGTGAAATACTCGCGGGAAACTTCAGATAAGTCAGCACTTCCTGTTATGGTTTGTTCCAAATTACTTAACCGTCCTAGTAATCCGTTTATATCAATGTAGCAACAGATTTTTATATCTTTTGAAATGTCAGTTTAAGATAGTTGAGTCAAATGTTACATTCATGGTGAGAAATTTACTTCTATAACGTGTAGAAGGAAAAACTATAATAGTGTACACAAACTATTATATATAGACTCTAAAACTTTCCGGAAATGACTATCGACCTTGACCTGAAACACGTGCGTTTGTTTTGGAAGAGCAGACGACAGAGGTAAATTTCATCACATACGTTCAAGAACCATTGTCATTGACTGATTCGATCAGTTCTAACCTACTATCACGTGTTTGATGGCTTTTAGTTAATAGATCAGTTTCGTTGAAGCTAATCCAATATCTTATCGATGTCAGTGACCATTTTCATGTGTTAAGCAATTTTCTGAAGTTAGCATAATGCAAATTGTTTCATATATCATGCTTTCTCTGGTAGGGAGGTCAGCTAAAAAAATGAATCTGAAATGACTCTGGTTTCAATATCATCATCATTTCACTTTCACATTCTCATTCTTCGAAATAGGCTTAACGTGATGAAACATGAAATAGGCACTGCCTAAAAGTGACGTCTCTTTCTGAAGCTCCATAAGAGCCGGTCGCCGGCCAATTTGATCGGCTACTTTGATCATTTGGCGGCCTACACCAATCCAGTTCCGTAATAATGTTCCGTACAAGACTAGATGTACACGGCAGGCCAGCCTCCTACTTTCACTACACAGCCTACTACTAACAAAATTATGGAAAACCCTGTATATATATACATTGGCAATTGAAATATCTAAGTTTGATTAATTTATATTGTTGCTTTACATCCAATTAACAGCAAGGGTCATTTAACGGTGTCTCATCACTGAAAGAAGTAATGAATTGAAGTCCAAATCATAAAAGATGGTCACCAAGATCCCAGGGTCTCTTGTCTTAAAGAATGTGTATAATTATTGTACAAATACATTATTTTATTTTAGCATACATGATGCTGTCAAGAGAAAAACCGCAACAACCCTTCTTCAAACCGATAACAAATACAGACTGTGTCAATAACCGCAATAACTTGTTTGAGGTTTGTAAAATAAATATGAATAACATTTATATGTATTGAAAATAAAAAAAAAATAATACTTAATACAATTATATGTGTTGAAAATCTAAAAAAATATTACTTAATACATTTATATGTGTTGAAAATCAAAAAATATTACTTAAACTGTAATATTGTCTAATTGTACACATTATGATAAGTGTTACTGTTGATTGAGAGCTTATATAAGTGATATTGTAGAGTTGTAATTTGCTATTATGATATATACGAAAATTTTAGTGTCAACAAAATGAAATCAGTTGAATTGAAAGAGAAAAAAAAGTGTTATCCATGTTGTACCAGATGTTTTATAAGCACCTTGAAATAAATTTTCATTATGATTTGATGGTAATATTGTTGAATGACATAACTGATTTTGAGTCACTTTGATGTGGTTATTTATGTAATGAGTTGACTCACATATTTGATGATTTGAAATATTATGAATTATTCCATACAAATTGAAAATGACAAAAATAATTGATGTCTCTCTTAAAGTTGAGTTTATCAACATTAAATGCCATTTTAACCATGCATTTGCTAGTCAACAATGGTATATGTCATCAGAATTAAAAGATATGAGGTTATACTGAAGTAATTTAATAATGCATTAATAATGATAATTATGAATCAGATATCACTTTCACAATATCAATATTGTCTTCTGATACAGCAAAATTAGCTAGATGCATCTTTTCTTAACTACTTTCGTATCTCACACTCTTACTCTTATAATGTTTTTCTGTAGCCATCAAGCCATATGAGGCAAAAAACATTCCAAAATGTATCAACTTTTCAAGTCTCCAATGCTAAAGGTAAGATCAGTTTCATAGCACTTTTTGGCATTCATGAACATGTATACTTTTGCATTTTAATTTTTCAGAATCTTTTCATTTAATAAGTTCTGATTAAAAAACTGTTCCTTTGCAGAAAATGAGGCTGTTAAGCAAGACACAAATACTCTACATGCATTGCACCAGGAAGCTGACAAAATAATGAAATGGAAAGTTCAAACAGAAATTGAAATAAAACAGAAGGTAAGTCTTTATTTTTTATTACCTCTATAGTTTGGTTGTGTCTGTGAACTTACAATCTGTTTTGGATCTCTAATTTCTGTTTGTACAACTTAATGAAATGGAAAGTTCAAACAGAAATTGAAATAAAACAGAAGGTAAATCTTTATTTTTTATTACCGCTATAGTTTGGTTGTGTCTGTGAACTTATAATCTGTTTTGGATCTCTAATTTCTGTTTGTACAACTTTTTTTTAAATCACTGGGTGTGCATTTTGAAATTTTTGTTCTGCTAAGTGTGATACCTCCACCCATAATTTAACTTATTGTGACTTTTGAGCAAATAAAGTCTTTGAGAAATAAGTCACTTCTTTTGGTTTCCAGGCTCTAAACTGAAATTTGGTACTTTATATTATAAATGTAACAGGGAATATTCACTATGGTAATATATCTTATTGTTGTATAGTATTTGTATTGTGTTCTTATTTTTCAGGAAAAAAATATACATGAAGCAACATGTACAATTGACATGCTGCGGAAATCCAGCCTTGATCTGCAGGTATTTGTATAGTTAATGTTTCATTTCTGCCTACTGCTGCTTTCTTGATGAATGCGTTAGGCAAAACCTACATGAATATTAAGAATAACAGTATCATTCACATTTATTAATTACTGGATTAGAATAATTAAGTACAGGTTTGTGTCTCCCATTTCACTCATGATACCTTGATAACAAAAATATGTTGGAATTAAAATTTTCAGTAAACCCTCAAGGCATTTACATTCTTAAAAATACATGAAATTCAATGCTCATGCTTCAGAAATCCAATTTTTCCATCAAAAGCAGCAACTTGAATAATTTTGTTTCAAGGAACATTTTTCAGATTTTAAAAAGAGGATCTAGAAATGTACTTTTCTGAGGTATGAGTTAAAAAAAAAATGGGAAATGTAAAATCTTCCCTGTCTCCTAGATGATAGCTTTGTCTTTATTTTCAGCTGCAGAATGAAAATCTTAGCTTGAAGCTTCAAGAAGAAATTGAAAATAGAGAGGAACTTCTACAGAGGTAAAGTTCCGCGCTACTAATCCATACAGTTATGTAAATACAACTATATTGTATTTCCATTTTCAGTGTTTAATGTATATTAATCCATAGGTTAATGTGCTGATTATCATCAAACATGAGTTTAAAGCAACTTGTAGATTTTTGCAATTGTTATTCTACATAACAGATATTCATGACAATATCTGCTGTTTGATTTGAGAATTTTGTTTATGATTACAGAATAACTTCAACAAGAGATATATGCAATTTGCTCAAAGATCACAGTGTCAAGACTGAAGACAGATTGCTGACATGTGAATAGACTTTAATTATGTTCAACTTATTTGTGATACACAAAGCATTGTCAAGTTAACAAATAATTGAAGATATTAACTAGACCAGAGAAACATTTTGATAAATATAAGGTTTCATATTTATAAAAAGTTTGACGAGCTTCTGCTGAGCACCTGAAATTCTTCCATATTTTTTTTTTACACATAATTTGGTATTATTCCTTCTGTTTTTAATGTTTCCCAAATGTTTACAGGATGCATATATTTTTTTCATGTGGGTTCAGGGTTATTAGACCAAGAAAAATTTCAGAAAGAAAATCTTCAGGTTTATTTAAAATGTATAAAAGGGCAGATTGATAAGTTGTGAGCCTCATATTCAAGGGTTAGTTTTTGCAGACATATTGCTTTATTTTTCAACATAATCCCTTTCAGTATCTATACACTTTGGCCAGCTATGTTTAAGGGCCTCAATGCCACTTTTAAAGAACTCCTTTTCTTGACTGTTCAGAAAATCTTCCACTGCATGTATGACATCATCTGATGGAAAGTGGGTACCATAAATGACCTTTTTTCAGTTTTGAAAGTCTGATGGAACAACATCAGGCAGTAAGGCCGATGCTGAATCAATTCGAAGCCACTATCATCAATAACAGCCATGGCAATGAAAGACTTGTGAACAGGAGCATTGTCTTGGCAGAACAACAAACATTACCTGAGTTTTCTGCAGGGCTTCAATTGCCTGATTTTTCTTAACTACCTAAGAAAAGATGCATGATATGTGCCATTGATTGATTGTCCCTTTTGTAGATGATGTACCATCCCAGAAAATCGAGGCCATAACCTTTCCAGCTGATAGAACAGTCTTTGCCTTCTTTGGTTGGGTGAACCAAGTTGCTGCCATTCTTTAGAGTGTTGTTGGGCTTCTGGGGTGAAATGATGGACCCATGTTTCATCCATAGTCACAAACCTTTGCAGAAAGTTTGCAGGATCTGCCTCTAAAAGGTTCAAATTAGCACACCACAAAGTCTGCCTAGTTTGCTTCTGATCAACTGTCAGAAGTCTTGGAACCCAGCGGGCTAATAGGCTGATAGCGTTCTTATTGCAAGATCTTTTTAAGAATGGAATGTATTCTTTCCTGTGAAATCCCAGCTGTACTGGCTATATATCCCTCTGTAACTTGCCTGTCAGCCATAACAATATTATTGACTTTATTGATGATTTCAGGGGTTGTAACAGTGACAGGCCTTCAAGTATGGGTGTCATCTCTGCCTGCCATTCTACCAATCACTTTTTCATTGTAGCATGTGAAGGGGCATCATTCCATGGTGTAACTATTGAATCAGTATGGATATTTTTATGTGCTTGACCACTGTTTTTTCAGCATTTTTTTCATTTTGCGATTTTAGTCACTTGCCTCGTTTACTTTAAAGTGCTACCTCTTTGACATAAACTGATCAAATGACACCAGTCTTTGAGTACACAGCCTTAAATAATCAGGGAATAGTAGAGCTGAAAAAGGACATTCCTGTTTAATTTCTTCAATACAAGGCTCACAACTTATCAATCAGACCTTTTACCTACAGCCTAGTATGGAAGACTACTCATTTTTGCTTAATTATATTTCGTTTTCCTACAAGAAAACTTTCATGGGTCTGGGTCATGGAGCACATGCTAACTATGAATAGTAACTTTGTTTTTGATTGTTTCAGTATACTTGTCAATGTAATGAAATGTAAAATGGATTGAAGGTCTGTTGATATTCTATCTGTATTAAATTTTCCTTCAAATGTTTCAAGTAAAAAAGTAAAGTGAATTTAGAGTTTCAACCAGATAGTTATTGTTAAGGATAAAACAGAGATAAAGCTGTTCTTATTTGTTTTCAATTTCAGGTGAAACTGAAAAAACTGAATTGAAATATAAGGAAAAGGAAAATTTGAAACAATTTGAGGTAAACCTCCAAAGACCTATTCTGAAGTATTGAAAGCATTGGAATCAAGACAGTTGTTTATATCCAGTTCTCGAAATGTTTACAAAAAGAAATTGCCTCAACCAATTATTAAGGTCACAAGGGGCAAAACTGAGGAATTCTGATTAATTGAAAGATAAAATAGTTAGAATTTTTTTTAAATGTTAAAAATTGTTATATTGATTACTAGATAATGATGTTAAACCAGATTGTTTTTGACACTTGTGTTTTAATATTGATATTTTTTTAGCTGTACATCTGTATTTGATTGAGACCTATTTTACTATTCAATTAAATACAAAATGTAAACCTGAATAGCATTGAATACCAGGTTATAGTGATGCAGGACCATTGTGCATTTTGTTTTAGTTTCATATGAGAAAACTAATTTTACTGAAGTCAGGTTTTTACTTCTAAAATACCTGATAATTATAAGCACTTTTATTTCATGTCTTCTCTTGGGCAAGGACATAATTTGAAATCTTCTGTAAATTCTTACTGGTACTCTCTTATTGGTTTTGATTCAGTATCACTCTCAAGTGTCTATATTCATATGTTTTACAGGAATTATCAAAATCATTCAGAGAGCTTCAGCTGAATGCAGAGGAAGATCACAACAAATTAACAAACCAGTGTACGTATGAAGTATGCTTTCTTAATAGCATCCACAGAATTCAGTAATAATTACATATATACCACCCCATGTAATAAAGGGTATTCAGTAAACACATCATCTGTATGTTTCTAAGCATCTACCCTTGTGTCTGCAGCAGAAAGATGGTATCTTATGAATTCCTTCACATCTGTAGTTCATATTGATTCACATCATTATAATACAACATCAAGTTCTTCATTTGGTTAGATTTTGGTGGCCATCAGTGGGGATGAAAGGGTCAAAGTTCATACTTTACTTCTTTTTAAATAAAAAGCTTTATTATGCTGTAGTATGTTACAACATCGTGTATCACAATATCAAGTTCTACACTTGATGATATTTTGGTAGTCGTCTGTCAATTTCAAATGTCACATTGGACCACTTTTGAAGAATTAAGTTTGTACACTTCTTCTAAATAACCAAGAGGCCAAGTCTATATGATATTAGGCCTATATCATGCAGTATTATTATATTTAACTTTGTTAAGTATCTTTAAATTTCATCTCAATAACCAGGAGAATCTGTCATGAATGAAGCAGAATTGGATGAGGGCTAAAAAGTTTGTTCAAAGAAATAAACTTTATCTGTATTCAAGGTCATATACTAGATAAAATTCATGAGTCAAGATAATTAAACAATCTCTTTTCGTTAACCAAGAGACCCTGATTTTCAATATTATTCCCTCTTGATTTAAAGTTGAAGAGGATATAGAGATGTTTAAGAATGTGCTCTTACACACAGAGTTTGTACAAAAATAAAAAGTAAAATTTTCAGCCCTCAAACTGTACCTTGGTTGAAGTAACTCAATCACCAATACTACTTATTAGAAAATCCATGTCAGCTTTGTAGAGTAGCTTCATTGCATGAAGGCTTTGGGTAAAACTTCACTCACTTGGAAATCTTTTTTGTCCATCATTCAAGGTAATAAACCACAATGGGATTAGCTATTCTTTGTTGGAGTTGTTTCACTTGTAACACATCTTTTTGACAACCAGGAGATCCTAAGTGTCAATATTTCACACGCAAAACCATAAATTGTTAATAGAAGGTGTATAATGATTGTAATGAACAAGAAATAAACTCTTCAAAATATATGAACTGCATATCAGCCCATTAGGCCTATTGTTCTTCCCAAACACCTTACTTGGCCACACTTCTCTTAATGGGACTTGTTGTTCTCTGCTTGATATTTCAGCTGAATTGATACAGTGTAAAGAGCTGGTTATATTGTCAATATTAATTACTGGATAGAGTGTAAATGCTACTTACTGTCCAGGTTATTATATCTTCAGATTGACTGTATTCTAAATGTCATTTAAAATGCAAATTAAACGCTGAAACCAAGTTGTCGTGTGGAAGAGGATGTCAAGTCATTGTCACAATTTTCAACTTTAAATTTGTGACTTCGAAGCACATTGTAAAAAAAAGATTAACTATGGAGTTACTCTTCGAATGCTTTCAGTGACAGTAGAACGTGAGCATAAACAAGCACAAGAAACAGAGTGGAAAGAAAAGATCACCACAGCAGAATGTCAGGTAAATCCAAATATAAGTAATTATTTCTATAATACATGCATATGATTTCCCCTTTTCAAAGTTGAGAACAAAGTGCCATTTTCAGCAATTTTCAATCAATATCCAGAATAAAGTCATGTACACTGTAGGCCATTTAATGTCAAGGCATTAAGATGAAAAGCAGGAGTCAATCAGAACTGAAACACTTTACATATTATGGAATCATATATATTTACTAGGTATGATTTAAGAAATATATACTGCCTGTCTGTAGTGATACCCATCTTATTATGTTGCTCTGTTCATAGTAAAAATCTTGTATACAAAGTAAATGTCACAAACTTCTCAGTAGATTCAGTTTGTGTTCATTACATAACTTAATGATAATGCCATCAAGTTTGAAACTACCAATTAGATTTTGGTAGACATCACTTAAGTTTACAGAGTCAAAGGTAAAGATTCCACTTGACCAATGTTTATATTTAAATAGATTGAGGTAATTACCAGTACAACATTTTGTAATCGAAGGTTATATCTATATTAGTCCCTTTTCTTTCTTTTATTTGTAATTTTGTTCATAAAAGTTATTTTCCTTTTCAGTTAAAAGAGCTCTTGAGTAGCTGTGATGATAAGGATATTGAGATCAGAGACATCCGATCTCAGCTTTGTAAAAGTGAAGATAAGCTGTATGATATGAAAACTGTGTGTGGTAAGTTTTACGTTGGGAATTAATTTGTATAGACGGGTTTAAAGATATTGCAAGTGGCAGTATGAACTGTAGCAGTACATATAAAAAAACTAATCAACCAATTCTAATAGATCTTTGCACAATTTTTCCTTCTGTCAGGCATTAAGTGTTAGAAGTTAATGATCAAGGTTGCCACAGCTGAATTTAACAGTAATGTTTGGCTCACTTGGCAGAAGGACCAAGTGAGCTTATGCTGTGGCGCAGCATGTTGTCCTTTGTCTGGCATCAACTAGCCTGACAAAGTTTGCAAAAAGAAATGACTTTGACATATATTCAAGGTGACAGGGGTCAAATTTGTTAAAACCTTTAAAACAACTTCTTGTCATGAACTCATAGGCCTATAGGCCTGATATTTGGTCGGTACATTCCTAGGATGAAGTTTGACAAAATTTGCGAAAAGAAATGACCTTGACTTATATTTAAAGTCACAAGGATCAAATTTGTTAAAACTTTTAAACAACTTTTCTCATGAACTGATAGGCCTAGAGGCATGATATTTGGCATGTAAAACTTGTATGTCCAGGTCTGTTGTGAAGGTAATGGGTCAAAGGTGAAAATCAGTTGAAATTTAATACCACCTGGATACACATTGTTCTTTGTATATTTTGATAAATTCTAAACAGACTTAAGCATTTTTCTAAACATTCAGCTTTAAACTAGAGTCAATTAACAGTGAAGATCAATATCCTAGTAGCTTCCGATCATTGTGTTCCTAGGAATTGAGTTAACTTGCATCAGTCAAAGATACAACCCAGTGAGATAATTGTACATGTATACCAAAAGCTATATTAATGAAAGAAATTCTGTTCTTGCAAAATGCTGTTTTACTTTGTATGATGTACTACCTAATTTTGTATTGCTGACAGGCGAAAACTTATTTCAGTTGTTATTTTACTATAAAATTAAATCGTGAAAACGGTGAACTGTTGGAAGGAGATGCTGTGGCCTTAAAAAAGTTACACTATTAAGTTATTAGTTTTAAGTTAAAAAAGTTAATTCTTCATATCACACGTTCATCAAGTAAGAGGAATTTTTTTGTCTGCAAGAATTACATGTATGTTTTTATATTAGATGATCTTGAACAAAAGCTGCGGACGTCAGAGGTGTCAGTTAGTGAGCATCGAAATAAACTTGAGGAAGCAACATCTGAGCTGACAAAGACGAAGGTTGGTTTCTTATACCTGGTACAGACATACATGTAAACCTTTTATATAATGTTTTCTGCACAACATATCAAGACTTCTTTCTGAAGGGAATGTTCCATTCACATTTCATAGATTTCTTTTGTAACCGGACTACAGCATTATTGCTACTTTAACTCCAATCAATAGAAAATCAGCATTTCTATATTATTCATACCTTCCCTCATGAGTATGAGTCAAAGGGACATTGAGTTAAAGAAACTATAAATGTTAGAAGTCTTTCTGCTAGGAGAACACTTCAGGTCTGCAACTACTGGAAAGAATCTCCTTTGTTTAGCTGTAACAATTTATTACTGGATGGATCCCAGAGTCTTGAAAATTTGGTCACCAGCTAGAATGATCTGTACTAAACGGTCTTAATCATGGATTATCAGTAACCAGTGGATACCATTATTTTAAAGCTTGTATTATGTTTCAAAAGTTTAATTACTTACCGTGATTAGAATACAAACTTTGTCTTTCACTTCATTAACATTAAAGTTACTTGTTGTAATTTGTTATCAAGTTAACAGGTTGTGAGAATAATATGTGCTATATGTGCTATATGTGCTGTGCATGTACCACATTTTAACTATGAGTGCACAGACAATGTCCAATAAATATATAATATATATAATCATCATTATAATTTACCTTACAACTGACAGCTGTTGTAAAATTGTAGAACCCAAGGGATGAATTACAGCTGTCATGCTCCATTTCAGGAGCATTGTTCACAACTTGGTAACAGAATCGCTGAACTGAATGAGACTTGTAGGATCCATTTACCAGAAGAACTCCAGGAAGAACATAACATGGACTGTCTTGATATTGATCTTCTGGCATCATACATCAGAAAGACACTAGAGATGTTATCACAAAAGATAGACAGGTATTCCTTTTCTTTAAAGACATTAAAGAAAATTGTAAAATTTCAAAGAGGAAATATCCATCTAATTTCATGTGTAGAAAATCTGCTTATGGGAAGTGAAACCTTTAATACTGTAATATGCTTAATTTCAAAACTAACAACAACATTAACACAGTTTAGCTCTGTATAATAGTTTCCACTTGAATAATTTTTTCCTAATATATATTATTTATTGTTAGGCATTACCAATTAAGCTTACAGAAGCCAAGCAAAGAACATCATTTCTAGATCTCGGTTGAAAGAATTGCAATTTGTGACAATTGTTATAAATCAAATTGCTGAAAATATCAAACACTTTCCATGAAAAAAAAATAATATTACAGAATTCAAATTTTCAAAGAAGATCTTGCAAGAATGGAAAGTTCTGTTGAAGAATTGAAAAGTTCCAAAGGTAGCCTCAGTTGTTTTTTTTTATTACTGAATAAATCCAAGTTCATAAAATTTATATACTGACATTAATTAATAATGAATTAGTTTTGTTGCTATAGATTTTGAAACTTGAAATATCACGTTCTTAGTTGAAAATTTTAAATAAAACTAGAAAAAAACTGTCATAATGAAAAATTTAGAAACTGAAATCTGCTTCCTACACTGTATTGAATATAAACTGCATGGCTGTTTGAATAAATAAATTACCAAATTATGACCAAATGCAAGTATTTAAATTGTTTTTGTGAGTTTTTGAACAAATGATTGCTTTTTCAATAACAGATATGTTAATAATGGAAAAGAGTGAATTTGAAGTTAAGATTGCTGCACTTGACGACGAAAAGGTTAGTTAAATTTCATGACAATTTGTGGAGATATATCATTCTACATTGAAAACAAATTATTAAATCAATAGAATTCATAATGAATTTCTCCAATTATACAACTGTTCAAAAGAAATTCAAGGCTTAATGATTTATTGCTAAACTCTTCACCATTATGTAAGATTTCCTGGATGTTTTTAAATTACTTTTTTGGTGCTGTATCTATTATATGTATTATCACATAGTGGACTTGTTATTCTATGGTTTTAGATGAACTTGATGGCAAAGATAGAGACAGAAGAAAATAAGACAAAAGAATTGGAAGTTACAGTATCCAGACTGACCATGGATTTAGTGGGCAGTAAAGATAAAGTTATGACCCAAGAGGTATACAAAGGAAAAAACAGACTGATAGGAATATCTAGATTGATTACAGAAATAGAAGTAGAATTTTAGGAGCAAGATATCTTGCTAGTTACCAGACACCTTTCTTTTTCGATCCAGCTGATTGACATGTTATATGAAATTATCTTTAATTAAAAAATTATTGAAGAAATTTTCAAAAGTCTTTATGGATAATGTACTTCACTCTTCTTTAACTGAATACATGTAGAGGGATACTATACTGCCAGAACCTTAGCAGCTGACTTGTAAATTTCTTGTTTTATTTATTTCAAATATAAGTTTGCTGAAAAGATTTCATTGTCAAATTCTAAAGTAGCTTTTCAGTACATTGATTTCACTGATGGAGGAGGTTTATATTTTGACATTCAGAATTCAGTATTGAATATCTGTCAGGTATCAGATTGAGTTTTGTTATTGTGATTTGATCAAAATATTCTGTACTTTTCTTCATGTTTTACTAAGAGAAGAATCATGTGACAAACATCCAATTATTAACCTTTAACTCCTCTTTTGCAGAGGACATTTCAGTTGAGATCTTTCAAAAGATGTTGATGGTATCGATGATAATTGAAACTTACACACACTTACACATTTTTGATGTGCATTTATTTTCTAGATGACCATCAACAAGCTGAACTGTGAAATAAACAACCTCACTACAGAAAAAAATGCTACAGAAGAAAGTTTGATGTCAGCACAGCTAGAGCTTAAAAACTGCATGGTTTGTTGTTTGGGGAAAATCTTTGGTGATGGGCTTTACTCATTTTAAATTTAGGCATTAAAGATTGAAAAATGAATTTATTAGACATTTGGGGATTAATTAGAATATTGAGGCTAGAATGCAGAGTTTTATTAATGTGTCTTTACCATTATAATAATTTTTACTGATTCAGTTTTCTTTATCTATAGAAAAGATTTGAAGAGTCACAAAAGCTGCTGCAAGCTAAATGTGAAGCTAAACAATCTTTATCCAAAGATTTGCAGGCATTGACAGATTTACTGGCAGAAGAAAGGTACAATGAGATTAGTTCATGTGCCAAACTATATGTATATATGTATCCTCTGTACATCATATCAAATGTGAAGTGACCTTGCATGAAAGAAACTTTCTCAGAAAAAAAATGCTTCCATTAAGATTATTGTTATTATTCGGATGTTTTGCTGTTTTGGAATAACACCAACTATGACTTTAGAAAATTGTATATTGTAATTTTGAGATAAAAAGGCTGAAAACATGTGTGTCTAAGATGTATCTATTTGAAAAGTATTTTAAATCTATAAAATTGTGTCTGATTTCAATAAAACAATGTATTGAACTATATCATGAAAGTAAACTTTAAATTCTTCCTGTTTAGGTGACTAGTGATGGCAAATGAAATGAAGCTACAAACATTTCTAAAGGTGCATAAGTCATTTTGATGTTGATATTTAGCATCAGCAGCTGACAGTGCATCCAATATGTATTGCACTTCAATGAAATTGTTAGGTCCCTGGCAGAGAAGTAGATATATTAAATATGTCGTATTTATGACTTGTAGAACAAATCATGAGGAAACATCTACAAAACTGAGTAGGATGCAAGATCAGATGGTAGACACTAAGAAGGAATTAGCATTAATCAAAGCTGATGCTCAAAGTTTGCAATCAGAAATCCAGGTTTGTAATATCGTAATTTACTATGCATGCAATATATGCATTACATACCTTGTAAAAGCCCTAACAGCTGTCAACATTTTTAAACTTTCATTTGACAATAATATTTGAATGGACAATAGCCACGTTTAAATGTCACTGAAGTCTAGCATTTAAGGTCACTGTTCCTAAAAAGTAGAAACAGAGAATATATTGTCGAAAATATCATATACTGTAATTTAAAGCCCTTACTGAAGGCCAAACTAATACAACTGCATTTCAGGTTTCAAAACTTTGAAATCACTAGTGGCACACTATATATGAAGGTGAAATATTGTTGTTCCATTGCCTAATTTTGCTCAGGATGGCATGTGTACATGAATAAGGCCATATTTTTTATATGCCTATAATTTCTAGATAGTCACTTCTGCTGGATACTTATATGGGGATATATTGCCTGACTGAAGCAATGGGGCCGCTGCTTACCTGTCAGAATTTTAGTTACAGGATAAATGTACTCATTACATGTAACATGACACCACAAGTGCATATTGATATAATTCAGGCCATACATGATTAGCATCCTCTTATGACATCAGCTGTGTATATGTTACTTGGAACTACATAATTGCAATACATACCTGATCTTTAACAGCTTTTGGGATTCTTTTTCATCAGCATTAATCTGAATATGAGTATACATGTAGGTACATGTGTCTTAATCTGTGCTTGAATCAAAGCCTTTTCAAGTGACATGGAAGTTATATGAAGCATATTGACATGCTTATGGAATAAATAAAAAAGAGAAGAGTGTTTATAAAATGCTTTTGTTCCTAGATATAAGCTGAAATGATTGATATCCATGATGGCATTAAACAGTACATAATTAATTACATAAGTGAATCAACGTGGCTTTGGTTGATAACTGATTTGTGATATTTTCTTTTATCAAATTTTGCAAAATATTGCAATTGAACAGCAACTTAACAAGAATGAAGAAAAGCTGCAAGATTCATTAGAGTCTGCCAATCATACCAAAGATAGACTTGAGTAAGAACTGAATTAACTATTTTTTGTATGTTTTGTGTTGCTACTCCATGCAATAAGCATCCTTTTATCACATGATAATCTTTTCTGGTTAGAAAAAAAAAGAAAAGAAAATTAATTTTCTTCTTATTCTTGAAGTTATTTTGGCTTCATATATGATCTTTAAATGTTACGTAATTTTATTATCTTGCAAAACAAAGCATAAATAATCATGTGATGAAAAGCTTTAAGTGTGTGACTACCTGAAGCATGAAACTGATCATTTCCTGTTTCTATAATTCAGTTTTAATGCCCTCACCTTTTTATGGGTGATGTGGGTGGGGGTAACTGCTGTCAACATAAGTTCATCCATTTGTGCCATCATGTCGCATCCCATTCAGCATGTGTCAAACATCAGATTGTGTACTTCACCATATTAAGGTGGTCATCGGGATAAAATGTAAAAGCTCAAATTTCACAACTTTTGTAAATTCATCAAACAATAATATATGCATGGGAGAAGGGCAATCATGTTTTTAAAGATATTTTCTATTGATTTACTTAATACTACAACTTCCGTTTTCTCGTCCTAACAGTGGACTTTGTTGTTTGTTTTTGAATCATTGATTGTGTTGTAAAATGTTTTCCATTCAGACAATTTCATTTTGAGAAGATAAAATCAACTAGATGAGGAAGTTCTGTAAAGGGCAAAACCAGAAAACTTATGGAGCACCTTTTGTCTTCATTATTTTGGTTTTGCAATTACTCTATATACTAGTTGGTAGCAACACCAGAGCCATTTGTATATCTGCTAATATACTCATACATGTACACTCTTTGGCACTTGCTCCTTTGTTTGTTATCTTTGGTGATCATTTGATACAAAACTTTGGAAAACGATGAACTAAAATGCATGTAATATTTTGCCAAAAAAAAATATCAAAGAAAAGATATACTATTTGATACCTTTTAAAAGTATTCCATTAACATAGAATCATTGAAGTATCTGGTAGTCATTTTCAATGTTTTCTTATTTTCAGTTTTTATTCCATTTGCTGCTAATCCATTGTCATAAGTTATAAACTTAAAAAGCTTGAATGACAATTTGGAAAAGAAAATACCAAAAAAGGCTTTACCAAAAGTTTGATACCATGCATGTAAATAATCATTTGATAGTAAAGACTGTCTTGGTTTCTTGTTGATATGATGCAGTTTGTAAGAATGATCATTGATACTTGCATTTTCAAAACACAGCATAATATTTGCTGTTAATCTTATCAAAAATAAGCAAGTGCTGAATGCATTGTTTTGTTACTTATTAATTATCTATTCATTAATTAGGTCATTGCACCGAACAATAATAGAAAATGTTCTGTTTCAAATAAGCTTGTATTCAAAATTTAAGGTCAAATAAATTCCTATATCCTTTCAAAATGATTGCAGGGAAAAGATAGCTGATTTAACTGAAGAAATGGAAAATAAAATCAAGGAGAATGACAGATTACGAGGAGAAAGGGATGAGCAGGTAAATTAGTATTGGACATGTTGTGATATTTTAAGGTTTTGCTTGAGTTTAGGAAAGATAAAGTATAGAAACATTTATCATAATTACAATGTAGCTTAATGGGATTTATGTAATAGTTCAAATTATTTTCAGGATAAAAGTATGCATGGAGAAATGGAATCAAGAGAAAAGGAGGCATCTGCATTTGGGGAAAAAATCAAAACACTGAAGGAAACAGTGTCTTCTAAAACAAAACAAATAAAAGAAGTGGAAAAGGAGGTATTTAAACTATAAATCGGGTTTACTGTTACTCCTGATCTTCCCTTTTACTGTATGTTGCATTATATCAGCTTACTAGTTTATACAATTCTTCATGACAAAGGTAAGGTTATTACTACACCAAGTACCATTCATCGATTCAAACTGCTGTAGAATTATCAAATGACTTCTTCATCATTGCTTTAAAGCAGGATTTCACTAAATGTGACTCAAGTATCTCTGATTTTGGGATTCAAAACTGTGAAAATGAAGGTTGATAAGTTGTAATAGAAGGTATGATTTGATTCTTAACTATGATAACCTGTAATATTAGGTTGGAAGCGTACTCGGGTATGGGATTAACAATTGTTATTATAGATTTGATTGACAACCTTGGTGGCAAGGGTTATCTGATGATGTCAAATAGAGTTTATTTTGGCAATGCTTGCTTTTATTAGCCTTTCCTGAATAGGCAACACCATGTATTGCCAATACAGTCAAATGGGCAACCGTAAGAGACAGTGGCTGAAAGGAAATTGAAGTCTTGTGATTTCACATACTTATAGAAATATGATTATTTTTCATTTTCATGATTTTCTGAAGCATTGCTCTGCCGCATCTAAATTGCCATTATCAGAATTTTATAGTAGAGCTGGAATATCAATAGCCTTTATATGACTTATGACTTGCAATTCTTGTTACAATTAATTTAAGAACAATTGGTTGGCTTTGCCCCTGGATAAAAGAATACAAATTTATTGGAAATTCATTTGAATTTGTTTTTTAATTGAAATATAATTTTCAATCTTTGCATAAACTTATGAATATTTCAAATATGAACTTGCTAGCCAAATTCATAAAAGAAAATTCCAATGCTATTTGGAATTTTGACTAAATTTATTCAAACACTGTTTTATGATCTAGATACTAGTCATCTAGTCATTGACATGAAGATATAAAATTCAGTAATGTAAAACTTATCTAATTTTAGATGAAGAATCTGAAAAGTAAGTTAACATCACAGAGTAAGCTTACAGATAACAAGGAAAAGGAGATTCTAAAACTGAAGTCAGCTCTCGAGGAAGCAGACAAAGAGAAGTCTGAATTTCAACAACAAATAGATTGCCTGAAGTTGGAAGCATGTACCGAGAAACAGAATGTTGCAGCAGCTAAAACGCAGGTTTGTCAAGTCTGGAACTAGTCTGTATATAATGTATAGGTGACAATTCAGTTTTGCACATCTTAAATAAATGTCATACAATTATTTCTGAAAGTTGACTTTTATTCTTTTACCTCTTTTCATTTGTCACCCCCTTTTTTAAAGTTAGTAGCACATTTCAAATCATACTGGTAACATTTTTTATGTACTGTAAAAGTAAATCATAGAAATGTTGTCAGCTTGAATTTAATATAATATGCTTTCCTTGTATCAATTTTCTAGGCGAAAGATATGGAGATGTTCAGTGAGAATATGCAAAAGGAAAAGGAGAAAATTGTTAAAAAATGTGAGGCAGAGATAACCAATATGACCAGCACTTTGGAGAAATATCAACAGGAAAATCATAAACTTGTGGCACAGAAAGACAAAGAAATAAAAACACTTAAAGCAAAGGTTCAAAGTGTAGAGCAGGATGGAAATAATTCCCGCGCAGAGGTACAGATTGATATGAGTATATTACACACTAAAATATGAAATTGACATGATTACTAAACAGAGGGTTTCTGATGTTACTTATTTTCATTTCTGATATAAGTACCACAACTTTAGTATGCAAATACAGTACCTCCACCCATCTTTGTTGCCCAAAAACAGAAGATTAAAAAATCTTGTCCTCTTGTTAAGACAGCGACATAGAGTGATCTCCCTTCCTCCTTCCTTTATGGTGCTCTCTGATGGATGACCTGTTTCATAGGGAGGTACTTGCCATTTTTATCTGGCACTTTTTTGGGGTTGCACTGTGCTCTGATGGGCTGTCTGGCATCAAAGTCTCCACTATGATAAGACAAATTCGCATAGTAAAGTTATGGTAATTATTACTGAAAGTAATAAGTATGTTTTACTTCATGAAAATTGATTTTACTTGAAAAAACCTCAAAATTACAAGTAACATGTTGTAGTATTCTGATTTCCTTTTGATTGTCTTGTAATAAGGCTTGAAGTAAGGAAATGTTCTTCATTAACATGGTTAGTTGATAACAGAGTTAATATCCTAAGAATTTGAATAATGGGTATATGAAGGAGCCTGTTGCTTTCATTTGTCATTACTTTTAGTCTAAAACTGATGCACACAATGTAAGTTTTTTTCGTTGGTGTTGTTTCAGGTTGAGCAAAAATTGCAAGAGTTGCAAGATGAAATTGAACAACAAAAACAATTAGTGGACATTTCTGAGGAAGAAAAGGTTTTGTAGTAATGTTTTTTTTTTTTTTTTTTGTATTTTCATTTTATAAAGAATATGACCTGTATGAAATACGAAAGTGAACATTTGATATTAAACAACGATCTGCAAGTCTCTTCACACATTAATAGGAAAAGAGAGGATTGTATGATAAACTAAAATGATATTAAATGAAATGATATATAGGCAACATATCTATCTATATATATATATATATATATATATATATATATATATATAACAGATATATATAACATATATAGGCAAAGAGTTATTTTATTTACAGAAATCACTTGAAGAAAGATGTAAGGATTATTTCGAAAAGCTGACAGATCTTGAAGAAACCATATTAACAAAGGTTTGCAATCTGGATATACAGTCGATATTTTCAAAATGTATTAAATGCATTGCAATCACCTGTGAGCTAACAGAACAATGGTTTGATATAACAGTTAGTAACAAATAGGTTCCATTTCCCATTTGAAAATGTAAAATAAGCAATAAAATGGCGTGTTTATGGTACTGTTAGTATCCAGCTTTAGATGTTTGAAGTGATAGAAATATGTTTCATTTGTTTGCATAAAAAGCATGTTCCTTTCACTATGGTAGAGCCATTTTTTTTTTATTTATTTATTTATACATATTCACTACTTATATTTTGATTTATTTATACATGTATTATTGGAAGGACGAGAAGATTTCAGAGCTGGCAGATGTAATCACTAGTCAAAAAAAAAATCTAACAACCTCAGCAACGCAAACTGATGCAGTAGAAGAAAAGACAACACCAAATCCTAAGTCAAAAAAGGAACAAACCCCTCAAGTCCCACAGGTTTGAATGCATTGCCTTTCCAAAAAGAGAATTGATGTTGATTAAACATTATATTGATTTTTGTATGATATTTCTTTGATATGAAACACTGCATTGAACTATATTTGTCGTATCTTGCTTACACTTTTGGGATGAATGCATATATGAAACCTGAGTCTCAATTTGAGCTATCGGCATCAATGAAGAGAGGAAACATTTACAAAAGAGAGTTTTACATGGAAATCTATGAAATAAAAAAAGAGAAAATAAACTCCTATTCCATGAACAACAACTGCCATGTAAAATTTATATATATTGTATATTTTGGAATTATCCTTAAATACCCATTCAAATGTGTTAGTAAAAGAACATATATTAGGGCTCAGTAATCTGATGTTACGAGTATCAATAGTATAACAGTGTAACTTGACATCAGACTTAATGGTACTAGAAACACTGTTAGTACTAAAAAAAAAGATTCAGTCAAGGATTTAATGGAAATAATAGCTGAGTCAGAAATTAAATGATAGGTAGGAAGCTTTGTGATCTTTCTGATGTCATTACATTATTGTCAGCATCAGCATTGAGAGAACAATGCAGGTAGTTTTAATTAGTGTATATTGCATTTCAAACAAGTACAAAATGTAAGAAGTTAGGTTTCGTTGAAATTCAGCAGCCCAGTTCAACCAGGAATTTTATTTCATGTCTACCAATACAATACAACTGCAAACTAGTCTTATCTTGCATTATTAAAGGAGTTAAGGTAAGCATTGACTAAAAGCTTTCTGGATTGTGTTTGCATTATACATAAAGTTTGCATGTTTTGTTACCAAAACATATTTGCCTCATTTTGAAATTTGTTTCAATGATACACAAGATTACAATTAAAGTTAATTTAGTAAAATGTGTTTTTACATGTGCACATGTTTACAGAAATTATTTATTATCCTTTATCATTTCAGACTCCACAACATTGCAGACATGAAATTGTAAACAGTAATAGATCAAGCACTCCTCAACAAGCTTACACTGCTACCACACCTAAAACTACTACTCCTCGACTAATGGAAACAGCATATACTCCTGTTTCTGTCCACAGAACCCCAAAACTTACCTCCAGAACCCCTCAAGGGACAAGTAACATGAAAACACCACAGAGAAGTATACTGAAACATGACAGTATTGATTCTGCCTTTAAGAAAAGAAGGGTTGTGTTTGCTTCACCTAAAGAAAACTCTGATAGTTCAGATACAGACTCCTCACAACTAATGGAAATAGAGGTACTGAATGCAACATATGATTAAAAATTGTTGAATTATTGTTTTCTAATTTTAATATTTGGTTAAGATATCTTTGGAATGTTGGCTTGTCAATTCAAAATTATATTTAAACCATAGATTGGTGTCATTTCTTTGCACTAAAATTGTTAAAGATTTTGAGTAGTTATTGCAAAATTTATTTAACTTTATCATGATTTAAGGAAAATTTTGGCGTCAGGCGTCCGTCGTAAACTTTTATTTCTCCGGAGATCTCCTCCTACATTTTTCAGCTGATCTTTATAAAAATTGGTAGGCTTAATCACCATGATATGAAATTGTGTTTTCCTGAATGGGGTTTTTGATTAGACAATTTGAATAAGAGTTATGCCCCTTTCTTTATTTTTCTATAGAAATCTTGTCCGGAGATCTCCAACATTTTTCAGCTGATCTTTATGAAACTTGGTAGGCTTAATCACCATGATATGAAATTTTGTTTTCCTGAACGGGGTTTTGATTAGATGATTTGAATAAGAGTTATGCCCATTTGTTTATTTTTCTATAGAAATCTTGTCTGGAGATCTCCTCCTACATTTTTCAGCCGATCTTTATGAAAGTTTGTATGGTTAATCACCATGATATGAAATATAAAAATCTTGTCTGAATATTTCCTCTAACCGATGTCCCATGCAAAACGTAGGTTACTGTGACCTTGACTTTGACCTCTATCAAAGAAAAGCCTTGTCCTACACCATTTGATACTGAAACGTAGGTGCACCATGGTGAGACGGTGTGTCGTGTACCAAAATTAGGTCACTGTGACCTTGCCTTCGACCTTTGACTTCCATCAAAGTACACCAGGTGGAGGACTGGAATTCTTGAATTATCTTCTTTGTTTTGGATATTCACGGGCATATTTTGTTCTGCTTTGCGGTACTCTTGTATACAATATTATGAGAAAACCTTGAATTAGTTTCTGCTTAAAGATTACTTTTACTATTTATAGAAAACTCAAGCAATGATGCCATTGTGTTTGTGAGTTTGGGACATTTATGTCTCGCAGGCATTTTCTTGTTTTGATAGCATAATGGATTGCAAGATATTTGCCTGTCTGTTTATAAATCTATATTTGAAAGTCTCCATTATTAGGTGGCTCATTTTTTGGCTCTAATTAAGACATGAAATATCAACAAATATTTATTGTTCATACTTTCAAAAAATTAGACAGTCCTACAGAAAGATCAACTTGAAATATCAAAGTGATAGTCTGGCAATGGATGTTTGCAAATTATGTACTTTTTTGAGACGTAGGAATGCAGACAATCTCCTCATAGAAATTTTTTAAAAAGTTGGCAAGTGTGATTTATCACAATCTAATACCAAACTTCTAAAAGGGCTGAATGTATTCTTCTTGAAACTTTATATAAGAGTATATATATGATGTTTACATGATGCATCACATACACTTTTGTTTGTACTTTCAAGGTTAATTAGAAAGATGGTGAAATGTCAAATATAATTAACTACTTTGATGTCTGGATAAGTCTTTTGAGGTCAATGACACTGAGGGGTTGACTGTTTATTTAACACTTGTTGCTCACTTACTTCAGATAAGGCAAACAAGTGCATAGGGGTGTATGCTCCATAAGTATTCTTTAACTTATGTTACATACTTTAGACGACCACTGACAACCGAAACATTTCGGGTGATTAAGAATGATTTTATGTATGCCTATCTGTTCATTTAGATTATAAAGGGAAGGTCCTAATTATAAATACTTTAATTTCACTAGTTTCCATTTGTCTTGATTCTCTGTATGTTTGATTTCCATACTATCCTGATTTTCTTTCTTGATGTTGTAGATTGAAGGGTGCTGTCCTTCATTTTGTTACTTTTTATGTCACATTTTAATTTTGTAGATTGATGAATTAGAGAATCGTTTAAAGGGGAAAAAAGGAAGTACACCTCTGCTTGTGAAGCCATCTCCAAAGGTACGGAGTATGGACATTGATGATTTTGAAAGAGAGAGACCTGGCCATAATGAAGGAACTATCCCACTCAACCGAGTGCCCCGAGGCGGGACAGTAAAGACAAACAAAAAAGAGGTACCGTACATAATAAGATGATTACTCAAAGCAAGTCATGGAGACAGATTTATTAGAGAACCAGAAAACATATTTACTGATGATAAGTAACTTTCAGATGACTTGATAAGCAGGACAGTGAACTTCTAGTATATAGCAGCTGTTGCATGTCTGTCCATGAATTTTCTCTTAAAATGATACTAGTCAAGAATAGTTCATTTCACCAATTTTTTTTATATTATTTGATTAAAGTGTCTCAAATATAGGATATCATGAATAAATAAAAAGTGAGGCTATTTTTATATCGGAGAGAGATACCAAAATCTTTCCCCTACACGACATATAAGGAATTTTGACGAAAATATTCATGGATCATTGGGATTGATACGGTATAAAATGTTTCAGTTAAAAAAATTTATTATGTCCTATTGATCTTTGGAATGATTAGAACAAGAGAATTCCTTACAGTTAGCCATCTAAGAGTATGAAAAATTTTGGTATCGCTTTTTCTTGAAAAGTTGTGCATGCAGCTTTCTCAAATTTTGTATGTAGGTTTCCTTTGGTCTTGGTTGTGTACTTTTGGTTTTGGAACAAATCTGTCAAACTAAATAAACCCACATGTGCCAATATTGAATTTGGCATTTAAAGATTATTATATGATTGCTATTTCGAATAGGAATTTTCAAATTTCATAAAGTAAGCGAAAACAAATGAATGAAGAGAAAAGAAGGGAACGATCCAGATTTTAAAGAACAAGTGAAAATCAAGCAATGGTGGGCACCAAATCCTTTCTGGATCTCTTGTTTTTATGAATGATTATGTTTACATACCAGTACTTCTTTTACAGAATGAGAAGACTAATTCAAGGTTACAAGATGCAGAGATGAAAAAATTCAAGGATTTGTTTCCTAATGAGCATCCAGCTAGCAAACTTGCAAGGGTTGATTTAGAGGAGGTATAACTTTTATTCATTAATCTTAACGTCTGTAGATGTCCAGTTAAGTAGTAAACAAAAATTCTTGGCTGTGTTCAAGGCATCCTCAATACTCCAGGGGTTGCAATCACTTTCTCTCTCATCACCCCTGGAACATTTTATAGCAAAATTGAAGGTTCCATGTGCAATACTTTGTGCATAAGACAAGAAGACTTGTTTGACCAGCTGATGTGCATTAAACAAATCTCTAGGTTGCTTAAAGGTATGTTGTATTGGCTTTAAAGTTGGATGTCGCTCCTTTATAACCTTCCAACTAACATATCGGTCTGTGGTTAGCCAATGTTTTCTTGTGAAACACAGTCTAGACCAATCAAATTACTTTGCTTGTGCCTTTAATTATGTGAGGAAATGTTCTAAGATTACAGAAAGTAAGCATAATCCCTGGAGAAATTGAAAATTTGTTTAAAGATCTCTGTTTCACTGTTTCAGTAACATTTTTAATCGACCCAACTGGAATCTTAGTGGTCAAAAACAACACTGAAACAGAGAATTGTTTACTATTATTAAATTTACTTTTCATGCCCTTGATTGAAAGATCTTGTCGACCTGTTGTCAACTTTTGACCTTGCCAAAAACTATTGCACCATAAATGATAAGGCTTTCATATTTGCATGTATGATGTTTCTGACAAGGTCTTTCCGGTGGTACTAGATTTTAAAAATCATTTGACATTTATTCTGACCGTTGAGCCACATTTGAAATTTGGCCATAACTATTGCACTGAAAGAGGTAGGGCTTTCATATTTTGCATGTGTGTTCCTTGTGACAACACCTTTCTAATGGTATCAAAAATTAGACTATGTGACCAGTTAAGAACTTTGTTGCAATCTGAGGCACAGTGTTGGGGGGGGGGGGTTGTTAATATTTGGCATTGCCCTTATCATTTTGAGTAGTTTCAAAAGTGTATGCAGTCATTTGCAACTTCTGAACATCTGTTCTGTCTATTACATGTCAAAAGAATTGTATGAGGGGAAAATTCTGTTCCTGCTTTTAACACATCCCTAAATACTTCTTTCAAAAGGACATTAACCTATTTGATGTACACTTTTTTTTGGAACTAAACATAGTTGAATGGCAAGACCTTCTACTATCATTAAAGTGGATAATTGAATTTGATTGTTTCATTATAGTAGAGGGATTGTAACTGAAATGATTTGATGAAGCATACTCAATATTGAATGAAAAAGCAAAAACTATCCTCTCAATCTAAGAAGAAAGATCGTGAAGCGAAAGCTTTGATGAATATTAAAAAATTCCTTCATTGAAGGATTGGTCAGATAGGTTTCACTCGAAGGGGAAATATTGGCAATCTTTCGTTACAAGTTTTATTGTTTCATATCTTTTATATGTCAAGGAATGTAATTTAATGCCAGGAGGTAGCCCAAAGGGATGCGGTTAATAAAGGAGATTAAAGAATCAAAATACTTGTTATTAAATGGTTGCTATACTCATTTTGTATTGAATGCATTATGATGGTAAACGGTTGGTTGCAAATTCAGTATCTTATATCTTTTAGATTAAAGCAAAACTGAAAATTATGTTACAAGTTTAAGCTTCTAAATACTTTGTTTATACTTTACAGTTACAGTGAAATCTGACTAAATTACAGTGAGGTTTGACAAGTTCTATCTAACTTCTAGTATGGGAAAAACTGCAGTAGCTATAGTGATATGTATTATTCATTGGTATCATGGCATGCTGAAATCTTTCTTATATTTTTCTGTTTAAGAAAACACAATCACAAAAATCATGCAATGTGCGTAAAACACCAAACAAGCCACCAGGAAAGTTTTTCAAGAATTCCCCGAAGGACAGACCAATTAAAAACAAGAAAACAAAAGGAAAAGAGGAAACTTCATGGTTTGATTTAGATTCTGTATTTGGTTTCGGTCCAGAGGACTAGTAGGTGATAATGGTGAATGTTAATTTAATCAATTTCTGCTGGAGGAGTTATGGTTCCTTGGCCAAAGATCTTCCATTTGGTCTAAATTCTGTAAGGAAAAGGATTTATAATAAGAAATTTAAATGTATGTTTGATTTAGGGTGTGTCTTGCTTCTGTTGCAACATTATAATTTGAATTAAGGTTTGATGGTCTTCCAGGTCAAAAATATTGTTAAGTGTAATTAAAGGAAAACAAAACAGTTTCCTCAAAATGAGAAAATTCATGAAAAACAATTTTTTTTTTTGTACCTTGCCAAACTATTTTACAATGTTTTGTTGAGTGAAAAAAATTCAAATATCACGATGGTGAATATATTTTATCAAATTCATTTCAATACTTATAAAGTATGTACCAACCAAAGAGGTACATGTGTTAACATCAAATTAGTTTGTGGATAATTTGATCAAGCTTGTCTAAGATGAGGTTATGAACACACATTTGATTAAAAATTGTAATGAATTTCATATTGTTTTTTAATTATCGAATGTATTACATTGTGAATATTAAATGAAACATCTTTTGATGTGAAAAAGTTATACTTTAATCGGCCATAGGTCAATGTAGATATTCTTCAGCAAGAGCTGCTGAATGGTGATTGTGATAGGATAATTATTGATCCAACCTTTGGATTTTGAATTATTTGTCTGTGATTTTTTATTATCTTGATATCTTCTGAATGATACTAAAAGTTCCATTTTCACATGTTATTCTACATGACTGAATTTATTTATTTATATATTAAGTAATGTAATGTACTTTATCATTCTGCACCAACATTCAGTGAAATTAAAAAATATTTAAATGCAGAATATTGTTTTACAGTTGTATCATATGAATTATTTTGTTTGTTGCAATAAAATGAAAATGATGCCTTAAAGCAGTGGGTTTCTGGGTTGTTTTGTTTTTCTTTAAATATGATATACCATTTTGTATCTTTAAACATGAATTTCATTAGGTAATTTTGTTAAATGGTAAAATATTAATTGCAGAATTAATTGAAACTAACTCATGATAATACCACATGAAGATTATGTTCACGTGATGTAACTCTCATAGTCCATTTGAACTGCATAGGGAGTAAACTCATTATATAAACTTTTTTTTTGATAAATTCACCTCAATGCTAGATGTCAATTTAATTACAAGTTAACACCAGTGAATATTAAACACCAACATGTTACTGGTGCATTGATTTGATAGATTATTACATGTAGGATTTCTCTGATAAAGGGCCAATAAAGTTCTACATCACTGGACTGGTTGATTAATGGCAACCGCAATTGAAAAATGGAGTGAAAAACATTGAAATTTGGGTGAACAAAAGAACATACTGTTTTTGTTTATAGTTACAAAGTGTTGATTTTTATAGCGAATGTCTTATTATCAGGATAGTTAGGTAAATGTAGTATGTGTAGCTGTGCCCTGTCCTTTAGTTGTCTAAAAAAGAAAGAATATGAATATACTTTAAGAATCATTCGTGAAGGTACAACATGTTTATTTTATTTAATAACCTGAACATTCTGGAGGGGTACCTGTTAACCAATGCAATATAGGTGTAAATGGAACATGACTTGTGTATCAATTTGTATGTATCATGTTGTACCCTACTACAGGATGAGCTCTAATTTCGTCCTTTCTATCATTGCTGATCAATGCAGTAAAATGACCCAATGATACATGGACTATCGCATATGGAAGCCAAGCCTAGATATGTTAACATGAAAATGTTTCTGATAAGATACGTCTACTTGTGAGAAATGCAATCATCATATTAATTAATTGAGTAATGGCTATCAAAGAGAAATAAATAAAAAAAAAAGTGATAAATTAGTGAAATGTGTGGTCATCACACAAAATTGAACACCTTGATACGAAATTCCACACAGCTTGAATATAAATTTTGATACCGTATATTTTCAAAAAACGTGTCTACATGAATTTTGCCATTCAATTACCAGGTTATCAACCTGTCCTGGAAGGAGCTCTCATATTGATATTATTTGTTTAAAAAGGTGTAGATATGTTGGTTTTTTTCCGGTGCTTGTATTGGGGGTATACGCTAAAGGTGTACAACTGGCTCTTCCTCTGTCGCCAACTTATAAATCATTCACATTTCAATAATAACAGCATATTGTTCAAAATTCAAAAGTGTTATACCTCTTAGTGACGAAATTATTCAATTGAAGAGTTTTGAAGTTTTGGATTTTCGTGAGAAGCTTTCAGGTGTATGACCATTCAGCTTGGGGCTATCGTTTAACACCAAAGATTCAATTATTATTTCAAAATTGAACAAACCACGTCCTTTGCACACACGACACTAGAAAATAAACACATTTAATTCAATTTATTGAATTTCTATGAAATACTTGACATATCTTTCAATATCGTCCTTAGGTTCGTGTCATTTATTTTGTGGGATGCAAAGGTTGATGAAATATTTCTGTAGTACAAACATCAAGATGGATTGACGTCTAAACCCTTTATTCTTAACCATATTTCGGTATAAATGTCTTTTTCAATTATAATCTTTTAGAAAAAAAAATCAAACTTGGGTTGATATGTTATAACAAAGTGGACATCAATTTACCTCGAGTAGTCCAGAAAATTGTTTAGAGCCATTTTGTTGTGGGATTTTAGATTTTTAATGACTGTTAAAGCAATAATTGATTTTATAGATACGACCCACCCCTGTCATTTTACGTTTCGAATGTCTATTAACTATAGCGGTAAAAGTCCAAATGTTTTATTGTGTAACACAATAATAGAATTAATCCTAGACAAATGCGTTGCCGAGATCTGAGAAATAACTATAGCCCTTTCAAGGTTAGAGAGCAGTCTGGTGGTTTCCGACTTGATGTTCTAACCAAAGCACTGTCAGTTTCTTTGCTGGGAACCTGTTTTGTGATATCGTGTTCATATATATATATATACATATTATATTTTTTTCCAGAATCAACTTCGATACTGGAGTTATACATGTATATTTAAGCTATGCCAAATGATTTCAAAAACATTTTCTGTGACACCTTTCTATTCACTTTGTGATGATGTGCGTGTACAATGAGATCAGTTTTACCCCGAGCGCTGATATTGACCATCTTACAGAAACTGGGCAGGTGCTAGATTCGATTTAACAGAATCAGATTGTCAGGATTGTACGTGCCAATTACGATACAATTTCACAATAGATGCCAGCTTTCTAGCAAAATGATGTGATGCTGAACATAATATTAAACTTTTACTCTCTATAGAGTTTCGACTTTTTAATCAATAATGCCACCAGGTGACGTATTTACTTATTGGTTAAATGCAGCTACCTCGAAAAGAAGGTAATGATTAGTAACCAATTATGTTCATTTTAGATGGAACCGCGCTTGATCAATTGGTTATACTTTATATTCGAAACATTAAACGAACATTCTAGCCTGTTCGTTTGTTCACTTGATCTGTTGGCTTAAAACTTTAATGAATTTCTGAAATGTTACTTTTTCCTTTATTTTTGGAATGTGAAAACAGTCCCAGATTATAATTATCTTATAACAGTATTAGAGAAACAAACACTGAATTAATTTGACCTTTAAGTGTAATTTTTGTATGCGTTGGATAATCAACGTATTAAGGTTAAGCAATTCATGTCAGATATGTACATGTATATGAAGTGCGTAATAGGACCTACATTCGTTTCCATATAGTAAATTAATGTGCACATTCCTCTCTCTCTCTCTCTCTCTCTCTCTCTCTCTCTCTCTCTCTCTCTCTCTCTCCCTTACACACACACACACACACACACACACACTCACACACATTTTTTTCGATTTTATTACCTAACAAGCGTTGGAATTTTATTGGATTTTATTAGCTTTATGAAATAGCATTAGTATAATATTAGTTGTATTTGTGAGACAGAATAGTTAGTTTTTCGTACGCTTGAGTTAGAATACCAAACGTTCTGTCTAATGGTCAACATCGACATTGTTATAGAATTCCTTTAAACTTTTCGTGTTGTAATGGCGTGTCCTCTCTGGTAATAGAAAAGTCAAATACGATTCAATGATTTTACTGTATCCGTTTATTGATATTACTTTATTTTCAATAATCGATATCAATTTATTTAATAAATACCAAAATTGCGTTATGATTACCCCTGAAGTATTGGTGTGATTTAGCAGGAATTGTCTCAGTACGTTATTGAAGTGAATGTTTGATTGATTGCATTCTTTGGCATCAATGATTCCTTTCCGTGTGACTGAACTAAACCTCTTCAGTATTTTGAAACCATTTTCTCCTCACACCCATATAAAATTTTAAAAAACAAGCGAACCACAAGATCTGTGCGCTCACTCGACTTTGTTTCGCTGAAATTGCTTTATCCAAACTACAGGAATAGGAATTCTGAAGGCTTATATCTAGTTCCTTCACTGGACCCCATCATTCTGCTTTCATTGGGTCAGCCAAACGTTTTTTTCTTTAAAAAGTTGGCTCTTTAAACCAAAGATGTTTCAAATCAAATTTGGACAGAATTCTGTCATTTTACAAAAATTGCTCTATTTGCCCCGCCCATTTGACTCCAGGGGCTGGGACCCACTGTTTACACAAAATTTATTTCCTTTCACACTAGGATGCTTCAAACCAAATAAGGACAGAATCCTGATATTTCTTCAGAAGAGAAAGGATTTGAAAGAATTGTTCTATTTACCATTTTGTGTCCCACACATCCCGCTCAAGTCGCCCCATACCCACCGTTTATACACATTGATGCCCCTTTCTTCAAGGATGATTCACGACAAGTAGCAATGTGTAGGTAAACTTGACGGACGGACGACGGACTTTGTGGTATGCCATTAGCCCACTTGGCCTTTGCGAGGGAAACAAAAAAAAGTGCGAGTGGAGAAAAAAAAATGTTCACTTGTCAACCACATGTACAATTTGAAATAACTGACAATGTGTATCTATATCCCAA